ATAAAGATAAATTTTTTTTATATATAAAGCTCATGAGAAAATTATACTTTAATCAGTTATTTTTACATTATTAAATTTGTTATTTAATAAAAGACTTTATTCACATTCTAAAATATTATTATCATACTACCGACGACAAGACAGACTATTAGCGAATACATTCTCAGGACAAGATTTTCCCCACTTCTCAATTTATATTAATTTTAAATTGTTAATATGAGTTTGCAGCTATGTTTTATAACCGTAATTGATTTAAATTTTATAAATAAAGATATATTTTTTTATATATAAAGCTCATGAGAAAAATACATTTTAATCAGTTATTTTTACATTATAAAAATTTGTTATTTAAAAAAAGAAATCAGTTTTATTTTACTTATGATGGATTTTTTTCATATTATTTTATCAAATAAGGAAACTTTTTTCACTTGATTAATTAAATTCTTATATTTAAATTGAGCTAAATTCCTACTACTAACATCCATTCTACAAAGCAATTCATCGGAATACAGACTACCAATACTCGATTCTTCATTAAAGTTTATACTTTATTAATAAGTTTTAACTTTTATTAAAATTATATAAAAAAGTATTAAATTTAAACTGAATATATTTAATTTTAATACAATATAAAAATGATAATAAAATGTAAATTCGCAAGATGGCGTTTTATATTTTGACATAAAGCAATATAAGAAGCTAAGAAATATGTGTCAATTTTAAAAAATTAGACATTTTATAGTTAATTTTATATTTGGGATCAAAATTTTTTTAAAAATAATAATTTATTTAAATGGTGAATCAATTTAATATAATGTATTTTATTCGTATGATAGTATTAAAATGATGGGAAAATGATAATATATCTACTAAATATTCAATTAATATATTGGAAAATTATATATTTACTGACAAATCTATTAAAATCCTGAAAAAAATGTATATATTTACTGAACCCTAATATATTGACATATTATTATTTATACTGGTAAAATTAATAAAATTCTGGCAAAAATTGTTATTATTACTAAAAAAATATTTTTATAAATACTGTAATTTTCGAAATTAAATATTGGAGAAATAAATAGCACCTTTTTATATTTGTGATATTCAATTAGACAAAAAACAAGAATAGGAAGGAAATATAGCATTAATATTTCTTGGACCATCTGGCAGGCTATACAAAATTCTAGGCTCTTTAATAGGCGTCGCCAGGCTTTACTCATCCCCCTCTTTTCTTTTCCATATCTTCATCAGAATTTATATTATTTAATATGAAGTTTAAATTTTCACGTAACCTTTAAATAATGTTTAAAGCCTTCTGGCTTTTTTTACAATAGTGGAAAAGACCCAAAATTTATATACAAATATTAATTATGATGGTTTATAAATTCGAGCGGTAAGGGTTTTATCATGAAAGAACTCTATTTTATTATAAATAGGGATTCAAACTGAATCTGTATTACCGAACATGAGCCGTTAAAAAATTTGTCACCCGAATCTCTAAAAATAGCTGTGAATTGGCTTGAAATTTGAACTTTTTGATATGATTAATAATCAGTTTTGATTTTGAGAGACTGATAGATATCAGTAATTGTTTTTAGATATTGCTATTTGACGGCACCAGCTAGCTAGGTGAGTATATAGAAGTGTTCTCAGCCATAAAATTTATTTTTCCTCTTAATTATAATTTGACAGAAGAATCTTGAAAATATTTAGAGAATATTTAGTAATAAAATTTAAAAAAATGTGAATATTTTCCTTACTAACATGCTTGTATGCAAAAAGATTTGACTAGTTTTTAAAGATTCAACCCGAACCGATATTATTATATTTAGGAATCGAAAGAAACCTGAATTGATATTCGTAATTGGATTCCTGATTATAATAGATGGCCTTATATTCAAACTCGGTACATATATTTTTTTTGTATAAAATATCGGAAAAATTTCGATATAAACTGGGGCAAACTAAAAAATTTAAAGGCAGAAAAAATTTAAGCAAGACCCTGGTAATGAAGATATTTTTGCGAATGAGTAGGTATTAGAAATCTGGGAAATGAATTTTCTCAAAACGCGTTATTTTTAATAAAATAACACGTGAGAGATCATTTTTTAAGGAGGATTAGTAGTGAAGCATAAGGTAAATACCTATAGTTTTTATTGCAGTAAATTTTTCGTCCAATCTTATCTTGGCAAAACCTCTTTTACACATATACTTTCAACCTTTACCATTCTACATAGGTTAAGAAATAGTTGAAATCTAAATTTGGATACAATAATGACAAATCTAGATGAATATTAGTGTTAAGAAGATTTTTAGAAAAGACGTGGCATAAGGAAAGGTATTGCAAATTTTTCGGCAATCTGGTGAAAAGAGGTTTGTACAAATCAAACAATCTGTATATTAGCAGCAAAATTATTCTCAATCTTCCATCCAATAACCTCAAAATGTATATGACCTAGAGGTCTGCATCGGGCGGGTTTTTGGACCAAAAGCCAGCCTACCCAATGTTTAAAATAAATTTAACCCGCTCGCCCATAGTTTTCAATAAAATATATACTCGCTCGCTCCGCCCATTTGTCTAAAATTCCTTACCCGCCCGCCCATTAGTCTAAAATTTTTTACCCGCCCGCCCATTATTTATAAAAATTTTCAACCCAAGCCCGCTTATAAAATTTAATTATGGTCATTCTTTAAATTTTTTAAGCATCTAATAAAAAATATTTCAGCATTACACTTCAAAAAATTTATAATTTAGGAAATAAATTTAATAAAAAAAATAATCAATTTAAATTATGGACAATTTATTTGATCAAATAGAATTATGAAAAAATATATAATATTATATGTAATTATAATGCAAAAATAATAATGAGTCGACATTTTCTGGATTCAAACACGTTCTTCTTTGTTCTGAAAACCTTCAAGCAATGCTAAATCCTCGTTCAGAAGAAGCACTAGTTGCAGGAATTGCCAATATATTTCTTGCTAATCATGATAGCTTTGGCAAATCTCTTTCTGGTCGTTACTAGAGTAGGATATCCTTTTGAAGTATATCCTCTTCCTCAAGTGAGATCCGGATGTCTCCTATGCAATATATGTAAAACTCTTTTTTGAAGTGAGTACGGAATGATTAATCTGCCATTCCAAAATAAAATACCATGCTATTTTTGTAATCGTTTTCATGCTAATCGGAAACTATAGTTTTATAAACCGGGCCTCGAGCTAATATTAGAAACAGATGCATCTAACCAAGGATTTGGAGCTGTACTCATACAAAAATATGATAATGGTAACGAATTCCAATAGCTTACACCTCAATAACTTTACAAGACGCTGAAAAGAATTATTCTACAATAGACAAAGAAGCAAAAGCAATAATAAACAGCGTAGATAACTATTTGTATGGACCAAAATCTAAAATACGAACAGACCACAAACCTGGTAATAGCAGAGATTTAAGCTCATTAACAAATCAAAGATTATTACGTTGGGCTTATAAATTATCTGCATATGATTATGATATAATGTACAAGAATGGCGATAATAATATAATTGCAAATGCTTTATCGCGAAACCCAATAGAGAAAAATGATAGAATAACAAGCGAAAATAAAACAGTGAAATATATAAGAAATCTTACTTATGACACATTAACTCTATCAGGAAAAGAACTTAGAGAGGAAACCGTAAAAAATCCAATTTTAAGAAAAGTAAAAATAATAATAAATGGTACAAATATACAAAATCAAGCACCGAATTAAACTTTTAGAACAATATTAGATGAAATAGAAAATGATGACGAGACATCCGGGTATTACATCAATGAAAGCCATTATGAGACATAATATATGGTAGGAACAATTAGATAAAGATGTCGGAAAACTAGTAAAGTGTTCTTCACTTAAAAAAACGATTGGTACAATAAAAAAAAGAAATATTGTTATTGATCATTTAATTATTTATAATTTTTCTTTAGGTTGTTTTTGAACAAAAATTTTAAATTTCTTTAACCTGCCCGCCCATTGTTTAAATTTTTTAACCCTCCCCCACCCACCCAGGCCCATAGTTCCCACCCGACTGCCCATTCTCGAAAATTTTTTATTCGAGTGGGCGGGCGGGTCGAAACCCCGCCCAATGCAGACCTCTAATATGATCTGCCTAAAATAAGATCGATTATACCATGAAAGAGTGATAAAATTGGTTTTATCCATTATAATCAACATCTAACTAAATGATGAAATTACCCCAGTCCTCGAAATTGAAATTTTACATTACTAATTCATAGAGTTGTTAAAGTAGCACACTTTTGGTATATCTAATAGCGTGCTATTTTAAAAAAAGAGAAGTTGATAAAATTTGATGGTGCCAGCTAAAGTTAGAGTATAATGTTATTTTTCATCATAGATATTTGAAAAATTTTGAAAATAATAAATTTTGAAAAAATGCATTTTTTTAGATAATTCTTATCAGTTTGCATGTAAAAAAATTATAATCGGATCTTAAAAATAGAACCTATATTATTTTTTATGAACTGATATTGTTATGGTCTGGATCCTTGGTCATAATCCTCATTTTTTATAAAAAAACCAAACAAGTTCCTTTTTTTAAAAATAGAAGAAAAAATTAATAAAATTTTTTTAATTGTCGAGTTTCCTACATAATAGTCATCTCTAAATAAGGTCTCATTTCATTTATAGTAAGCACGATTTTATCAAGTGATGAGAAATTAATTTGTAATTTACAAAAGCATGCCAATAATAGATAATTTATAAATACGGAGAGATATGATGAAACGCGGGAGCTGTTTACCTATATTTCAAAAAGTATTATAGCTGTGACATATCAGCTGTGATTTCGCTAGCAATAAATTCTGCGTCACTTGAGGTGTGAATCGTGCTTACTATAAACGAGGCGTAACGAATTATCTTATTTAAAAATATAATTTTAAGTATTACGTACAAATATATATTATTAATCATCACGTGACAGGTATATATATTCTTTATTTACAGTACACTATATTTATCAAAATGTGTGCATGAAATCAATATATCTTATTTTATTCAATTTCTTTTATCGTTTCAAGAGTATCAGGAGTATTGCTCATCTTATCCTCGCGATCTTTTTGAATAAGAGGCACGCCAAACATAAAAGCATAATGATGTATTTCCATTTTATTAAGAAATAAGCGTATAGACGTCGGTGCTAGCCAGGCACTAAAATTCAAGATTATTTCTCTATATTTTTTATTTACAATTTTAAATAAAATATTTCACAATGCAAAATAATCCAAAAGTTATTTTTGCATATCTGTCTCTTTTTATATTAGAAAATCAGAATTAATACACATAAAATGTTGATAATTAATGAAGCAAACTTAATTTTTTTGTTCACTTCCACATTGGTCATTTCGGACTCCGTCAAAGTTTTTGAATTGTATTGCAATACTAAACATATACTACCTAATCCTAAAAAATTTTTTTAAATCGTATAAGAATGCAATTCAGTATATAAATATCTACCCATATCTTTGGTTTGTTTACGCGTATCTTCACTTAATTCTTCCATTTTCACGTTTTCGTGAGTTATCAATTTGATAAAATCGAAAAATTTTATATAGATTTTACGAGCTCCAATATAGTTACTGGTTAATGAAATACCCTTGATTTAAAATATTATATATATATAAAATAGAAAACGAAAAAGTATATTATTTAGAACAGGAATTTTAATATAATCTTTTAATTTTTTTTTTAAAAATACTAAATTTATTCTATCTAAAGAAAGTGATGAAGGTTTTTGAATAAAATTTTATATGAAATATGGTCAATTAACTACCATTAACAAGTATTATAACTTTTATTCATTCATTATCAAATTTATTTCTAAACATTTCTAATTTATGTGAATAACACTGGAGATTCAGATTAGTATTCTTATCAATTTTCAAAAAATGGTTAATAAGATCAAAAATGACTAAAAATTAGATGATCGAAATTATTAAAAATAAAATCCTCTATCTTTAATTATCTTTATTCATAAAGATTAGTCAGAAATAATTTGCCCTTTTAGTCCTAAATTTTACAGTATAAGCAAATAAGAAAAGTTTTAAATTATGATTTCATCTAGAAAATTTTATTATGTATGAAAATTACAAAAGATAAATATTTTTTTAAAAAATCTATGTTATTATTTTTTAGGTAAAATTTGGTGTTCTTCAAAAATTTTGTAAAATTTTTCAAACTCTGCAAAAAACGTTTATAAAAAAAATTCTTTACATCTTGACAGAGTCGATAAGGGTGATCGCATTTCAATGATCGATTATAAGCTAATATCCTTACTCCAGTATTAATAATTTTCAGCCTATCCATATTTAATAGAATGATTTGACGCACGGTAGGGTGGACAAAGTAAAGATTATGTTTTATGGTTTCGTTTTCATTTTCCTCACGAATAACGGTATTACCACCGTTTAGATTGTCATCGGGATTAAGAATAGGTTTGGAAGTGGGAATGGCTTTATCTTCGCTGCGGTAACTCACATTTTGGACGGGAAAGAGAGGAGAAAAATCGAAGAACTTTCTAAGTTTAAAAAAAGAAATAACATATAAGAAATTATGACAATTAAATTAAGCTAATATAAATGAGTAAATAACGCAAAAAAAAAGAAATTAGATTGTGTCCTGACTCGTCATATTTCAGCGTAGCCCACAAACAGATATTGAACTAAGACATCCTATTTTTGGTTTGTTTTAAGTTTGGGCATTATAATATATGTTATTTATATATATTTTTTTTCGATAAAATAACTGATCTTTTGACGTAAATTCTAAATAGCATCTTTCTTTTTTTAGACTGTTTAGATGAAACAATAAAGAAGACTAAACAGATGACTGTTTAGAAATAAGAGAACCAAGACACGGGATTAGATCCTGTAATCACATTTTTATTACAAAAAAATCATATTATTATTTGTGCAAATGGGTTTTGTCTATATACACTAGTAATATAATAAATATATCGTAATCTGATAAATGGCTTTTAAGTTTAATCATAAATTAGAGATGAATAGTATTAGTCGGAAATAATAAATAAATCACCTTATATCGTCCCAAAGAGCATTGCCGTTCTGTTTCATAAACAAAAACGGATTTTCTTTGTAACAATGTTTATTGTGAGAAGATTTTCGCGAAAATTTTTGGGTAGTTACCTTCTCCTCAACGATCCCTATATTATCACCATTGGCATATAACTTAGTTTCCAATGTGCTTTCGTCGTTAAGAGAATTTTCGTTCGATGTTGAAATGATTTCGCCTTCTTTCCCAACTTGATTTTCAAAATAATCGGCTTTAAAAAATTCAAATATTTTTTATTAGTAAATTAAAAATAGTTATAATCATTTAATTTTATACGCGATTTTTCTGTCATAACATTGTTAGAAAGTATTTTGATGATACAATCAATGTACATGTTGGATATTTTTTTATATTACTCTCAATTCATTTTATTATATTGATTTCATTTAAAAAAAAGGTAAAAAATATAGGTTATCTAAATATAACATTGTGAATAAGTAACATTGATTAAGATATCAATCAGCATAAGTTATTTTTCAAGATTGTTAATTATATTTAAAGCTCAATTCGTCATTTATTTTTAAAAATATTTTTGTTAAAAATTAAAAAAAATATATAATTTTCAAATTAAAACAAATATCTTGAAGCCGAAATGTAATGATATTACAGACAAATTTGTTACTGTGAAATACCCCGAAATTGATAATATATAACATAAATAAATTATTTGATGAATCCGCTGGTTAATAAATAATATTCATCAAAAATTGAATATAGTCATGAAGAAAGCGAATTATATATTTTTTTATATTCCAAATCTCACAATAATGTGCAAATTAATATTCTCATGTCTTCAAATATAACTGTGTAGCAATGTATATTCAGTTTAGTGCTAAACAATTTTCTGAATATAGAAAAATTTACTTTTAAATCTATAATTTAATTTTTTTGAAAAATTAAATTTTGAAAATACAATATTTAAAAATGTAATTTTCCTCATTTTTACGATGTTCGACTCCAAATAATTTTGAAAAAAATCTGGCAATTCTGCTCTGCCCATAATTAATGTATAAAAAAAGTTGATTTTTTTTAAAATTAAAACTCAAAGAAACCTAAAATAATGTCCTTTTCGGGAAAATGCAGATCCCGAACACGCCACTGATGATTTCCGAAAGTAGAATGTATTTTCGATTGATTAAGCCAGGGCATATTTTTGTTCTTTCTAATAAGCGTCACGAAAAACCCTCCACTGTTTTGAAGGTGAGGATATATTCTGATACTTAATGTATTTAATTAATTTGTATTAGAACAATAAATGGATTGATATACAAGATTTTTGAAAAAAAAAATACATATAATAAATTTAAGATTAGTATTCTATCATAAAATTAATCTCATAAAAAAAAATAAAAACATGTCCAAAAGAAAATACGATTTTATGTGTACAAATAAAAATCAATGATTTATATCGAGCAATATTTTTTTTAAATTGAATTGATTTAAAATCATATTTGGCACCTAAATTTATATATACAACATTTAAAAATAAATTATTAATCAAAATTTATAATGTAAATAAAAACACGGATCTAAAATTTATTTTAATATGACAAACAATTTTTTTTAGCTATATTGCAAATTTGAATATCAATTTCATATATCCATCTAATTATTTTAAAGCTAAGTAATTGCAGTTAATTATTATTATTTATTTTACATATAACAAGCTAAATGAAGATATAAAAATAACATTATTAAATAAAAGTGATATGAATTTCTCAACTCAATGAGCCTCTAATGTAATACGCTAAAAATTAAATCGATTTCTTTTATTTATTAATCCCTCCGTATATTATTATAACAACACATAACATAATTTACCATTTTTTAAGTTGATCCGATATTGGTATATCATTTGGAGGAAACAAAGTTTCTTTTAACTGATCTTGCATATTCACAGGCACGTCTTTAAAAGTATCGTAAAATACTCCATTTTTGGACATAACCTGGAGGATACAAATTAAAAATTTTAGAAAAATGTATCGATTAATCTGAAATTAAAAATTTGGAAAAAAAAATTAAATAAGATTTATTTATTTTTTTGATAGTTCAAAGGATTGTCTACTTTCCAATCAGTCAAACCGGGGACGTATAACAACCCAGATAACTTTTCCGACGCGTCGATGATTTCTATCGCGTCTGTATAAATTTTGAAATGTATGTGAAAGAGACTAATGGCATAATAACGATTCATTTATTAAAATGAATTTTGAAGCGTCGAAGACTACAAATCAGCTGGTAACGCGTCATTTTTGTTTCTCATATAAGAATTTTTATAAATAAATGAATTTTTTTTTCTACAAAGTAACAAAATAGCGTGTCACCAACTGATTTATATTGAAACAAATATTATAATAAATTAATCGTCATTATGAGGTGTTATTATATCATTGGGAGAGGCATAATATATATTGATAAAAAAAATACAAGAGATAAAAAATTTGTTAATTTTTATGTTTTTCCCTAATTGATAGTGCAATCATAGACTCAAAAAATTACTTTAGAAATTACTAATATTATATTATAAAAATATTTTAACCTTAAATTGTTATTGAGAAGATATAAAAAATAAATATATTATTTTAGTAAATCGAAACAAAAAAGTTTTAAGCCGCTTACCCTGGGCTTCCTTCAACATGGAGCTTATAACAGCTTCATTTTCGACGGGATTGAGAGAACAAGTTGAATAAACCAAATACCCCCCTATTTTCAGAAGCTCTAGACCTCTTTTCAATATTCTTAGTTGTAATCTTGGGTAGACAAGATTTGTTTTTTAAAATAAACATTTAATATTACCCAAACAAAAAAGTGAAGATATCTAATTGAATTTAGAATATAATGCTAACTTGATTAAATATTTTTAATTATTTGCTCATTAAAATCTGGAAATAAAACCCCATAAACATAATAGATATAATATTATATCAATAATATATTAAAATAAATATTAACTGGTGTATGCTGTTAGCTTGTGTGGAAGTCCATTTTGACCATATCAAAGGATTTTTGCGCAATGTACCGTCTCCCCTGTGAAATTATATTTTAGACATATAATTTCTCAAAGAAATAAAACTTAAAATAAATTATAGTCCAAATCAATTACTTATAATAAAACTTTCAAGTAAGACGATATAATAAAATGACGCCTACCTTTTTAGAGGTGTCAACCAATAGATATATCGTCACATCCTTATAAAAGCTTTAAGGTAAATTAATTTTATTATTTACGTGCAAGGAACGTCGCAAAGAATCCTATCGTAAGCCAGGTTGGTGTACATCAAGGGCCCTTGATTTTTCCCCTCCTCGTTTGAAAGGGTAGTTACTTGATGAGATTTGTCATCCTTCTCATTACTTTCACCCTTTTTAGTATCCACTTTATCAGCACAATTGTTAGATAAATATCTTAAGTTGGGCATGAAACAGGCATCCTGATTAACTATCAAAAGGTTGGGGCATCGGAGCCGCTTGGTCTGATGAACCAGCAGATAGCAACGTTTGCTATCAGAATCATTGGCAACTACAAACCCTTTTGCGAAGTGGGCCTGGTCATCGGTGATAGAATCTTGAGGGGATTTAGTATCTACATTTTTATTTGGTTCGTCGGGGAAGGTATAGAAAAATTTATGATTCAGGTGGAAATATCAGTAAAAAAATTTTAGCTTTCACTATTTTTTATCTTTATTGGAAAAAAATTCTAAAAATTTCAGAAATTTGATAACATTTACTTATAATAGCAAAGCACATTTTTAAAATTTATGTTAGTGGGAGCTGAACCAAAATGTTCCAGCCGTATTTACAACCAAACCAGAAAGAAATTTGACAACAGATAAAGGTAACATGCTTACTTAATAAACAATAAAGCGTTTATGATTTAAGGAAATTGAATATGTCGTTTTCCTTTAAATAAATGTATTAGCAATATATTTATTGTTTCGCGATAATAACATAACGCAAATATATTCGCGGTAGAAAATATTTTATAAAGGGTTCGCGATAAAGTTTCGCTAAAATGTATTCACTATAAAGTATTCGCGGTTAAGATTTAACGTAAATATATTCGCGAAATTGGTTTCACGATATTATCTTCACTATAAAATTCCTTTGCGGTAAATGACATTCATGATAAAAGTTTCGCTGAATTGACCTGATATGTTCGATACATTAATATAAATTAGATTGTCTACGATTATTGCTTATATATTTATGCTAGAATTTATATTATGTTCAAATTCTTATTTATTCTATTTAAAATAATTATTTTTTCTTTGCCTTTTTCAATTTTACATTAATAAAAATGCAAACTTTTACATAAGTGTTTCTTGAGGTTTGATTTGGCATTAAGAATTTCCAAAATTTGGGTCGTCTTTGAACCTGGAGAGGCGCACATGTCAAGGATCTTTTCATGAATAATAAGTTTAATTTTTTTATAAAGAGTGGTGTCTGTTGTAATATTCAATTATTATTATTCAAATTGTGATAATATTCAAACAAAGATAATGTATTATTAAAATTAAGTCTTAGACTTTGCAAATGAGATAAAAACGCGTGATAATTGTAGATTTTTCATACTTTAAGGGTTTAACAATTGGAGTTATTGACTTTTATTTTTTTAGTTATAAATTCCTTAAATTTTAATCCTTTTCTTTTAAAATTTGATTTTTTAACTTTAATTTTATTTTGTTTTCGCTATATAATTATTATTAAAATGATGAATATTGAAAAAATAATAAATTAAGTTTTCATGTGTTTTTATAAAAAAAACAATTTGAATATCAGAATCATAAAAGAACAAAGTACAATTTTACATAAACTTAAACCCTCCCCCCCCCCCACTTAAGATTGATCTTGTCCCTTTTAATCTTTTATCTTGGATTATCCCTTACCGTTGAATCTTCTTCCTGTACCGCTAGTATATTATTATTCAACCCAATTATGGAACACCTCCGCATTACGTGATCACCCCCACAATACTGCATGACATTCTTCTTCTGGCATCCCAATTTCGTTCTCTTCTTTGATTATACAACGAACTTGTTGGTCTTTCTATTATCGTCTCTCCGTACCTAGCTTCTGCTAGGATTTTATTGTTTGATGGTCCAATTAAATGGGGGAAGAGTATAGTAAGGAAGAATATAGTAAGAAAAAAAGGTAGAGGTAAATTGAAGGACAAGAAGGGATATATTCCAGACAAGTTAAACAATTAAGACCTAGATGTGTAGGTTAGGAATAACAACCGGTTTAAAATTGATGATAAACATAATCGATTTATGAATAAACAAGTGACAATTATGAGAATCATAATTTTAAGTATTGATGATAGACATAATTGATTTGTTTTTTTAACAAATCTGCGAGAGTTATGAGAATCGTAATTTTGTGTACAATAGCCTTAATTAATTTGTTTTAACAAGTCTGCGAAAGTTATGAGAATCATAAATTAGTAGAAAGTTAAGAGAATTATAAGTGTTTATGAGAAATAGTCATAATGATTTAGAATTAAGAAGTATATAGTAGAAGTAGTAAGAAATATATTAGATGGCCTCTTAGGCTAGAGTAGGCAACTACATTATAAAGATAGAAATTAGAGTGGTCGATGGTTCAGTGGAAACTCGAAGATGGATAAATGCAGCATGAGAGGAAGTAAAAGCTAGGTACAGAGAGACGATAATAGAAAGACCAACAAGTTGGGTGTATAATCAAAGAAGAGAAATTGGGATGCCAGAAGAAGAATGTCATGCTGGTATTGTGGAGATGATCACTTAATACGGAGGTGCCACAATTGGGTTGAATAATAATATACTAGCGGTACAGGAAGAAGATTCAACGTTAAGGGGTAATCCAGGATAGCGTATTAAAAGGGGCAAGATCAATCACTCCTGTTGTAAGTTTATGTAAAATTGTACTTTGTTCTTTTATGATTATGATATCAAAATTGTTTTTTTATAAAAAGTACATGAAAAGTTAATTTATTATTTTTTCCAATATTCATCATTGTAATAAATGGAAGGTCCCTTAAAGAAAAATAAAATAAAATAATTAAATTAAATATATATATAACCATCACTTTATTGCATAATTATATAGTGAAAACATAATAAAATTAACTTTTCAAGTACTTTTAATAAAAAAAACAATTTGCATATCATAATCATAAAAGAACAAAGTACAATGTTACATATACTTACAAAAATGTCAATAAAGATTTTTACAAGGATCTGATCTTATTTATGAGAGCCATGAAATTTGGCTCGAAAAAGGATGTTTTCTCCTGTTTTTATATCAAAATAAAAAAGATATTGGTTATAAAGACAAGGTGATTCTTATTACTTCTTCATTTAACTTCATAAAAAATAGATTTAAAATTATTATTTTTTTAACTTAAAAATTTAGGTCTGGGCATTGGGCTAAAAATTTTGACAGGGCTATAATGTATGAGCCTGATCATTCGGCTAACGGATTATAACTTTAAACCTGCCTATCTGCATGGATTAGGTGTAACTATTATTTTAAAATTGGAATAGCCCATTTGTTTTTACGTAAAAAAATATTTAAGTTATAAATTATAATTCCTTTTCCATATATGAAATGAACAAATGTTTGTGTTTCGTTACATATATTTTGTCAATTTAAATAAAATTCGAATTTTAGAAGGCTAGCTATACCAAATCTAGAAAAATATATGTAACCTCTCATTCATAATTAGGGGACGAATTCATGGCTTATGCTGTATTTTTGTTTATTTTTTTTAGCCGTGATTTTGCGTTAACTGTGAATGCAGGGTAAGCTTAAAATTCAATAATTTTTTGACAGTCACTAATTATATATATTTGTAGCCCTTCAATCTACTTAATAATTTTTTTTTGAATAGAAATATTCAGTGTTTTTTATTTTTGTAAAATTTGAGAAGATAATTTATTTTAGGTAATGAAACTCCCTGGGAATGTTTATTACATTGATATTTAACTTAATTAAAAAAAACTTTATAAATAATTGTAATGTATTTGCTTTGGTATACTAATATTTATAAAAGATTGTTAAGATAAAATTCTAAGGACTATAAAATGATTTATAATTTGTGACTTAAGAATAAATGATTTAATAAAATCATGATTTGAAATATCTTTTGATCTTTTAAATTTTAACAAAATTTAGATCATCATCATGCCAAGTTTTATTTATTTTAAAGAGGGTCATCCAAAAATCCTATTTTTTGGAGGTAAATAATATTAATAATGTTAAAAATCGAGAATAATGCTAAATATAATTCAAATTACTATATGGTGCGAGTGAATATCCATTAGCTGAACTGGAATTAGGCTAACAGCTTCTTGCCTATTGAAGTGACCCTAATTAATAAATTAAATATAAAAAAAATACAAATAAATAATTCAATTTTTATAATATTAAAAAAAAACAAATTATCGAATATAAAATATTTAAAAATAAGATATATATATGTTATATAAAAAAGTAAAAATAGTGCCCTATTATAATTGAAAAATGGAATTTTTTTTAAAAAATACTACTAAGAACTGTGTGGATAGAAAGTAGGGTTGAATTCATAACCCTATGTTTTGTTTCAAGTAAAAAAAAATTCCTTCGAATCAGCAGAGATAGCTGATATTCCCCTATTATTTTTATAGAGGAAAGTTGGATTCATGCTCAAAAGTAGCCAAGAACATAAATAACAATATTTAGTTTGAGTGTTCAGCCAATGAGACAGTTTTCCTTCATGTTTGATTGGGCCAATGTATCTATGCAGGTAAAGTCCCACATGATAAGGGCAATTAGATTAAATTATAATAAAATCATAAGCATTTTAGGGTAGTATCTAGACCAATTCGCAAATTTTAACACATTTATAATTAAATTCTTTATTAATCTTATACGAAATAATTAGTGTTGTTAAACAGTTCAATTTTTAAAAAAGGCAAATCCAATATTTTAGTCAAAAAAATTACACAAGCCTCAAGATTTTGTAAACAGATGTTCAAACTTTCTACCTTCTATGAGCAAGCTGTTTATTAATACTACAACTAATAGAAAGTTATGAAAATAATATAGATAATATGAAGAAAATATTTCAAACTCAATAACATAAAATATCTCATCATTTTCTAAAAACATTATTTGCTTTGCCTCTACCAATTACTACTTGAACAACTGAACATTTTAAGTATATTAAAGCATGATAAAAACTATCTTATATCAATAATATGTGATGAGTGATTGTAATCATAATACATGGTCAGTACCCTGGTCCCATATCTTCAATTAAAAAATGAGTAAAAATAGCAAAATTCCCATAAAAATCTGGATTACAATTAGCATTTATAATATTTTGGCTATAGTTAGTATATTTTTAGAGTGGCAATGAATAAATCAATGATTTGAATGATAATCAATAAATTATATTATACTATATTATATATAATACAAATTATAATTTTAATAAAATAGAGCTTATTAAATTTACAAAATTTTTTAAATTAAAATTTCTCTATTTTAATATAAAATGCTTTTTCACCATAAGGGAAAAATTTATTTGCGTTACCCCTGTTTGTAGCTAGATCTGCCCTCGATTTAGTTCCAAATATTATTTAATTTTGCCTTTAGCTATGCTTATATATTTTAAAAATTGATGGCATATTTGTAGAATTTTAAAAGGAAATTATATAGCCTTTAAATATCAAACTTAATAACAAGTATTGAAAAATTTATAAATATACAATTTCAGTTTCAGCAACAAGAATTTTATGGAAATTTGAAAATTCTTCAGATTTTCTAATATTTTTTCGAGAAGCTGATATTTGCCATGCTTCACTCAGTGTATACCTTATAAAAAATTAATTAAGAAAGATTTATAAAATTTTTTTAAAACCATTCTAGCTTTGTGAAAATTTCCATCTGTTCATTTTCAATTTTTTTAATAAATTTTTCTTTCAATTGTTCCCAAATCAATTTTGCCTCACTGTACAAATAAAATTTATATATATAGTAATATGTCTTATGGATAATCAAGTTTATAAGGCATTTTAGTTGAAAAACTTAAATATTAAAAATTATTTAACAATACAAGAAAAATATTGTAATATAGAAGTCATTACAAATCATTTGCAGTTAAATGAAACGTTGCTAATAAATCTGATTGTGCACTTTGAATAAAATTCAGCCATTCATCATCTTTAAAATTTAAATTTTTCTAAATATTAAATATAAAATATGACGAAAAAAATATTATACTTTATAATATTCATCAAAAGATTTGTTTTCTTTAAGAATCTCATTAAATTTTTCGTATCTTTTCTTATTATTTGAGAAATTTCGTTTACATTTTCTTTTGCCCATCACGTTTTTGAAAACGCACTTTTAAAAGTTAAATTTAAAGGTTTTCTGTTTTTATCAGACAGAGCACAATTAGGAAAGTTTTTTAATATTAATTCCGAATTAAAAATAAGATATTATCATTTCGATTTTAAATTTTACATGATACGTAATATATAGCCCTTTTGCGCCCTGTCGTTGGAAGTTAAACAGAGCTACGCTAGGTTTTCCTCATTTCCATATGATTGGAACAAATTTTTGGGTAAAAAGTAAAAATGAGGAGCCCTCTACAAATTTGTCAGCAAGTCACAGGTATTTGTATGCGCAAAATTTTGAAAAATGTTGCCTAAACGTCTATAGGCTTAATAAAAAAAACAGGGCAAAAAAAGGAGCTGATGTCCAAGAACTACAGTATAATTTAATTAGTTTAATGGTAGGGGATGGATAATTTTAAGTTTAATATATCTTTCTGTGAGTATTAGTTAATTAAAAAGAAATTTGGAAAATTAGTATATTTAAATACTTTAATTGAAAGAATTTTTTATTTTCATAAAAAATTAAGATAATTAATATCATGAAAATAAGAATTTAATATATTGCATCATTGAATTCCATATCTTATATAAATTTGTTTTATATTTGATAATAATATTGTTTTTTGTTTGATCGAGCAAGATTTTGGATAGTGAGCTTTCATTGTATCACTCTTTGATATGAAATAATTTTTTGATAGATTTCTTGCAGTTATTTAGTTTAGTAAATTTTTTCCTAGATATAATTATATCACATCTTTTGTAGTTTTATAGTACCATGTGATTTTTACTTTGTTTACAGATTTCCTTTGTATGTATAAATAAACCATGTTATGTCATCATGTACTAGATTGTGATCAGATTTTCTTTGTGGGCTAGAATCTAAATTTTGCCTTTTATTAATGCTAAGAATATTGGCGTGTGATATAGCGGTTTCCAAAGATTGGTATTTGAGATGATTTTTGGATAGAAGATAGCATTTTGATTCGGAGGCAATTACTAATAAAGGATTGGAGACGTCTATTTTCTGTTTTATTTATGTCCCATAAGTCGCCTTCATAGATTAATATAGGAATTATTTGAAGATATGTAGTCTGGTAACTACCGAAATCTCTTTTGTTTTTTATATTTTCATGAAAGGCGCAACTAGCTTTTTTTGTATTCTTGTTTTCATTTCTCCTTTGCAACTACCTGTATTATCAAGAGTGACTACTAAGTACTTAATTTTGTCTGCTATTTTTATTTCATTATTTTCAACAATTAAATTTTGAAGCGGTGGCGCTTTTGGGGAGGCGAGAATAACTACTTTGATATATCGTTACTCCACCTCTATGGCTCAAGGTTTCTAATAGGTAGAGTAATAAGTTTTTGGTTTCTTCTATGAGATCATAACGATAAGGATATTATGTTATTTTCTTAATCTCGTTTGATCCTATATCTATTAGATCGTCCAAACACAGACCATCTTTTATGATTTTATTTATTATGATATATAAAAAAAGAAGCGATATCTAACCTTGTTTTACACCTTTTTTTGAATATTTATTATTGATTTTGAAGCATGCAAACAGTTTAAAATTGTGATTTTTTAAAATAGTGAGTAGGATTCTATGCTACATTCTGACAGAGTTGCTCATAGAGTTTCATGGTTAACATTGTAAAAGGCTCTACTGAAATACGAAAGCAAAGTATGAGGGTATTTTGGCAGCATTTTTGCTTAATTATTTTTAGGGCTAATATTGGCTGCAGTATAATTTTGTTTGGTCTGTACGCGTATATGTATTTGAGAAGAAGGTGAGGTGTGGATGATATGATTTTATTTTTTAAGGTCCATAAAAAATTTTTGAAAGGCAGGATATGAGGGCTACAGCTCGGTAATCTGTAAATTTTTGTGGGTTTTTGATTTTATAGAAATTATATAGGAAAAATTTGTTCCATTCCACTAGAGTATTTTCGCTCTTCCATATTTTATAGAAGAGGGCTAATTGGAAGAAAGATATTGTAATAGGTGCAATTTTTAGATATTCCGCTGAGATATTATTCATCCTTGAGCTTTGTTTTTGCGTAGTTTATGACTATATTTGATATTTCATTTATGGAGAAATCAGATGGGGGGGGGGCGAGGTTTGAATTTATATTAGTTGGTAGAGTTGCTTTCCGTGAGTCGAAGACCCTCTTATAATAATCAAGACATAATGTCATTTGTTCATCCTGGTCAATGATTATTTTTCCGTTTCCTAAAACGATAGAAGGTAGTTTTCTATAACTGCAAGGTTTACAGAAATATTTTAATCTTTTATAAATTCTATTTTCTTTCATGTCTTTATCGATCTGGGTCCTATTTTTACTATGTAAATCAGTCTACCACTCCGTAATAATCTTTGCATGTTTTTCTATAAGTAGCTCTTCGAGCCATTATTCGCTCTTAAATAAATAAATTAAAAAAAAATAATAATAAAAATTTTCCCGAGTAACCCTGAACCGTGACTTTTTTGAATATCTAACTTTCTCCACTTCTAACATTTTTAAGAGAACCGCAAATTTAATTTAACTATTTTTTTATAAATGTAGAGCGCTACTGTAATAACAGATTAGTTGATTGAATTATTTAATGACATTAATGATAAATATGGTTATTAAATAAAGTATAATAAATAATACATTAAATATTGTAGCAACTAGGAATTTACTATATGATTATATATATTTGTGATGATTATAATAATTTGTAAGGTTAAATACCTAACACCTATTGCATCTATTATATTTTGGATATCCAATTTAAAACAACTTCTAGAACTATGTCGAAATCTGGATCTTCGTGCCGCTAATACTTTTTTGAACACCCCGACGTCAGAGAAATATACTTATTATAGCCCTTCATACAATCATGATCTCAAATTGGCTATTTCATTTGTTCTAGTTCGACTCTTGGATAAAAAATATTAATGTACTCCATCAAGTTATGTAAAATTCTGACCACAAACTTCTTATTTGTTACATAATGATTGATCCAAAAATGGCATAAGAGAAAAAAGAAATGGGGAAATTAAATAGAAAGATATCCAAGATATACATTGAGGCTCTAGGAGATCAAAATAGTTTTCTAAATGAATGATGACTGCTGTGAAGAAATTTTTAAAGAAAATATATCTAATACTCTATTGATGTTTAGTTTCTAAATAACTTTTATCTAGTTCCAAATTAACTATATCTTGCCTATAATTTTGTAGTTTATGATGTTATTTTTCATCCGTAGTATAAAATTCATCATGACTAGGGACAATATAGCCCCAAATAGAGTAGATAAAGGGATATAAATTGATTATTAGTTAGAAATAAACAATGAGAAGCAAATGAAACTTAAAAATAAATTTTTCCGATTACAAAGTGAAATTAAAATATAACGTAGGATATCCTATTACGCCATTATATATCTTTTACTGATTACATAATTTTTACTAAATATTTTAAAATTACTACAATACCTAAACAGAAAATTCAACAAATTAAATAATAGCTATTTTGTAACTTCTTTTACTGTTTATAAAGATACTTACAATACCTAAACGCAAATTTTAACTAATTAAATAATAAGTATTTTGTATTTGGAAGAAATAGACAAATTGGATGGGGGGTAGTTCCCCTCATTTTAATAATATGTATGGTTTTATTTATATGAATGTACATGGATAAATAAATGTGATATGTGAAAGAATCAAATATTTAATAATTATAATCACTTAAATATTTGTAATAGGGCCGTAACCACAGGCGGGGAGAGGGGGAGGTTGAATTTGGGGTTAACCCTTTTCTCAAAAAATTTATTCCCCAAAGATAATTTTATTACATAAATTTACAATAATTTATATCTAAAAACTATAAAACATTACGCTGAATATTTGTTAATTCATATTTTAATAAATTGATACATTAAACTAATATATTTTTTAGTCTTAATTATGGAAGAAGAAAGTTGCCAAAATATAAATTAATTCAAACTTTCAACCACAAAAAAAAATAGATTTTAAGATATGAAATTGTTAAAATATTAGATTTCTTTATTTCATATTCAAGGTCCAAATATTTAATAGAGAAGCATAAGTGTAAGGAGCTCAACTTTAAAAACAGGATTATTTTTAAAGGAAACATTTATAAAATTACCTTTAAAATTTTCAGGAGGTTCTCCAGAGACGCTACTGATAATAGATACAAGTTTTCAATGATTTAAAAATAATATTCAACCATAGTACTGGCCATTACAAATGTGTTTTCTAATGATCATTTCATCTATTCAGTTACAATTGCCAATTAGATCTTGCTTATAAATCCTTTATTTTATCAGAATTTTGTATAAAAATCTTGTAAAACATTTTGAGCAGGTGCAAAATTAGAGAAATACAAATTTAGCATCACGAGATTTTTTGATTAGTTTATCACTTACGTATATTGTGGCTTCCATTTATTTATCTTTGGTCAAGACGTTGATTATATAGTTGGCATTTCTAAAATTTGAGAATGAATTTTGCTTTAAAAGCATTTGAATGTTTTTCATATTATAATCATTAAATTTAATTTTAAAAATATTATTAAATATAATAGAAAAGAATTCTCGAAAACACTTTTACTTGATAAATTTCGGGCTGTTTTTAAAAGGAATTTACGTTTAAAACTATCTTTTAAAAAAAATTTAAATCGCACCAAAAAATATAATATATTATTTTCTTCAATTTCATATTCGAATATTCTTCGATTCCTTGATAGGAAACGAAACATAAAAAAATAAATAGAAAGAATTAGTTGTATATAAATTTAATATAACCAAATGGTAACGGTGAAACTTTGAAATATTATTTTTTATTCGAATAATAATATCATACAAATATGTTCATATATAATATAAACTTCATCGCATATAATATACCCTATAAAGAATTTATTATTAAGTTTTCTTTAATCGTTGTTTAAATTAGGGCATAAAAGCCCATCTTGCTATTGCGGTAAAAAATACAATAATACTCTAAATATATTTATCACTATTTATCTTTTAAATACATTTGTAATTGGGTGAGAAAAAAAAGGCGCAACATATTTAAACATGATGAGGGATTTGATAAAAATTAGCCTTCATTAAATTAAAATAATACACAAGGCAAAGAATTTTTCAAGCCATTAAAAGAATGATTTTTTATTATCAAGTTATTCGGGAGCTCGTATTTTTCTTAACTGCTTCAAAATCTTTTAAGGTTGTATTGAACAAAGGAAAGCCCTTAAGGGTTTGCGAGGTACATCCGGTAATCTTCGTTATATATATAAAAAAAACACGAATCATTTTATAAATTATAAATAATTTTCGTTAAAATAAAGAATTAAAACTAATGTAAACTATTGGTCAGAGATGTTAAACGCTACTTTTAAAAGTAGCGCGCTACCGCTATTTGTTAAAAAAAGAAGCGTGCTACCGCTATCTTTGTAAAAAAAACTAGCTCGCTATTAACTACTTTTTATAAAAAAAATTTACAATCAAATTTTTTATTTATAACGTTAATTGTATAGTAAATATATAAAAATCAACATTTATAAATATTAAAATATAGTTAGTTTTGATTATAAAAAAATTTATGTAATAAAAATAAATATTTATGGTAATTTGTTGCATTTTAATAATAAAATCATCCCCAAGTCTAGAACGACGATCAGAAAGTATAAGTTTTGCCTTACTAAATAATCTCTAGACACTAGCACTTGAGGGTAAGGTTATATACATATTTTTAATATAAGATAGATTATCAATAATTTTATTTGCAAGTACATCGTATGTCTGGCATCCTATTATCATTTTGAGGGCCAATGCCATAGATCTTCTTTTTAAAGTCCTAGGGTCTAGCCAATGGCCTGTGATTCCCAAACAAGCTCAAAATTATTTAATCAAATCAATTTATAAATATAAATAAATTTTTACCTTCTGTTATGTGTCCAACTATCTTCCGTGGTACATATATATGATATAACTCTACTATTAGAGCATCTTTCATCATTTTAAAGTTATCTGCTATTTTATTCATTAGTGTCCAACTCTGCTATTGGTACGTCCAAAGATGATTTTTTACTTTTCGTATGAAAAAATTTTTTTTAAATTTTTGAGCAAAAAATACTTTTAAAGGAGGTTGTGTATTTGACAGGTCAACTATGGTCATATTCAAATGTATGCTTTCTAAGTCAATATTAACTTTATTTTGTATATAATAGTAAATGAATCTATATTATTTTTATAATATTTTTTAAAATTCATTGTCATTCAATAACTAATGTTTAACTCATCGTCGCAGTCTAGTTCTGATTCATAATAAATACGATCATTTTCTTTAATATTTTTAAATCGATTTTTCTGTTATTAAGATCTTCAATCGATTCGTTTTAGTAAGAATATTACCGCACATTGACCAATTTCTTTCTGAAGAAGAATTAAGAATTGTTAGTATAATTATAATATCATTTCTCTTAATGGACATGTTGGGCAAATTCCCCGCTCCAGTAACTTGAAGCGGAATCTCTTGTTTTTGGTGGAAGTTAATGCTTTCCACAAAATTTGCTATCAAATATACCGCTTTTACTCCTTATATGATATCACTTGAAATACTTTGATCATTACCACATTGTAAAATGCCTAATTTTGTATTATATTATATACTTCATTAATTCACTACTAGATGTTCCCTTTGAGATTGGGGGCACAAATATATAGGCAGCATTCTGATCACATGTATTTATATCGTTTTTTCAAACATATTTTGAATTTCTTTTTCTTCAGATTTTTTAGAGTATTTGTCCGTATTTGAACAGGTTCAGAGTTGGGCAGGTCCTCCGGAAAAAGAATCTAGATACAAATACAGATTCTTTTTAAAAAAATGAATCTAGATACAGATACTAGTATCTTTTTCAAAATATCAAAAAGATACAAGATAAAAGATACTTGTATCTTTTACTAAATTAGAGTATCTTAAATACAAGATACTTTTAAATTATCATTACCAATTAAATTAGAATAGTTTATAAAATACAGTTTTTATTATTTATTTGTGAAGAACATAGCATACACATATGAGAATGAATATTTGCAATAATTAATAAAATATTTATTGATGAATTAATCATAATAACCAGGATAATATTAATTTTTACCCATTAATAGCTTAAACAGGGAAGGGAGAGTAGTATATTTAATGGGAGTTAAAAGTGTGCAAATAAGAAAAAAAATTAAATCAAATGATTTATTAGAATTTGCAGGTTATTTTCTGTGTTGTTTTAAATATAGATATTCGGAGTATATGGATAAATGGCATCTCTAAAAAAATATACTAGTTTTATTTTATTCATTTCTTTAATAAGTATTTATCATTACTTGTTTGTGATATTTATGTATTTTTTAATTAGTTTTATTTTCTAATATGACTTATTACATTTGTAATATCATGTATATAAATATCATTTAAATCTTTTTTCATATTTTTTTTATATATTTCTTGAAAATTATTAATTATATATAAAAAATATGAAAATAATGTACAAAATTAAATTATTTAATTGTTAATTACATAGCAATTTTCTTTAATGCATTTTAAATTAATTAAATTTCATAAATAAATACTGTAATGTAATTTTATTTATTATCATAAATAAATAAAAGTAACTAATAAAGTTAAATTTTACCTTATTATAATTATTTTATTAAGAGCCTTTTAAAATTATCTAATATTATATATCAATTGTAGCTTAAATATTTCCTTTAATAAGAACTTGCTAAAATAATTAAATATAAAATATATTAGGGATGTGCCGATATTTTTTATCGAATCGGATAGGGCCGATATTTCACCCATTTTAAAATATCAATTATCGGTCAATATTATAAAATTTGATCCGATATAAAAATGGCTTCTTTAAAAAAATAAAATGTTATAAAATGAAAAAAAAATAGTTATATCTAAAATCATTTATTTTTATAAATAAAATTGAAATCCATTTTTATGTATATTTTTTTAGTAATAATAATTAATTAATAAACATTCTATCATATTGTTATTTTTTTTTTATAAAAGTGTGCGATAATCACTACAGAATCTGTTTTTAGTGAAGCTGATGATATTGACAGTTACTATCGCCGCAAGCTGACCTTTGATAAATTGGAAATATTGGTATTTCTAAAAAGAAATCTTCGCTATATTAATGTTAAATATTATTTTAAATATTTATTTCAAATTTCATAATATAATTGTTTATTACTTAATATGTATATAGATTAATGTTATTACTTATTATATAAAAGTGATTTTACAATAAAAATATTTTATATACTTTTAGAATTGTAATTGAATTGAATATAAACAATAACTGATCATTTAAATTATTAACATAATAATACCTATAATACTTAAGTCCTTCTTAGATAATTATTATTAAAATTTTTTTATAGAAGATAGTTGATTATCAAATTAAAATCATTTTGGATATATGTTTTTTAGGGGTGTACCGATACTACTTTTTAGAGGTCGATCCGATCCGATATTCTCGATATTAAATTGATATCTGCCGATTACCGATCCAATATCATATCTAATTTTGTATTCTGTAAAGATAACAATAGTTTTAATTTTTAATATACTTTTTATTAGTATAACATCTATAATTTAACTATACCATAACTTATGTCATATTATAAAATAAAAATGTATATTATACTTTAATATGTTTAACAAAGTTTGTGAGGAGTATGTTCAATCTTTAATAACTTTTTTACTTGTGTAATTTTAATATTCGGCTTGCACCCTTTCCTTTTTCACATGAATTACTATATAAAATTTTCCATCTAAAATTTCAAGATTCAGATTTGACTCAGGAGAACCTATCTCCATAATTTCATCTTCACTACTATAAATGTTAAACATTCTACAAATTATAAAATTATATATAAAATATAACCTTTGCTTATTTAGTTTTGGTGTTGCTATTTTTGTGATCTGTAAAATTTCCAACTAATTTTGGTTATCAAAATATTTAAAATATAGCAGGAAAAAATAAAGAAAATAATACAAGATTTCACGAAGAAAATATAGTAACATTGTGTGATATGTAAATGTTTTAAACATGAATATTAAAAAGAATCTGTATCTGTACCTTTTTAAAGAAAATGAAAAAGATACAAGATTCTTTTCAAAATAAAGGATCTTAGATACAGATACTAGTATTTTATTAAAAATGTCAATAAGATACTGAGTACAAGATACAAAAGGATCTTGTATCTTGTATTTTAGATACAAGTATTCGCGGTACTGCCCAACTGTGAACAGGTTAAATAATCATCTGGTCAATTTACTGAATTTGACCGGTCAATTGACCGACTCGCCAACCCTGCTTTAAAATAACAAAAATTTAAGATTTTTTATGAATAAAAATTACAAGTGATTTACTTAAAAAGGTTTCTTTTGTTTTACAAAAAATTGGTAAAATACGATCGAAAAACCTTTTTGAGCATTTATCAAAAAAATCTTTTAAGATCAAATATTTGAAGATTTTCTGTCTATGCAGTTGCCTAATACATCATAATTTATGTAAAATAATTAGCTTTTGGGGAAATAGTTTCTTTAAAAAAAAACTAAATTACGTCATTTTTTTAAAAGTCAATTTTAAAATATCTACCTTAACAGCAACGTATTTTCCTATCTCTGGATATTTGAAGGCATTTCCATTTATTTCACCCCCATCTCCACTTAAGGTTGGCCTATCTCTCTGCGAAGCATCAAAATGATCTTCAAATTCGGAGGCGACTTTAATTTTAGGGAAAATCACGTTGATCCCGGAGTCACATCTGCCGCATAAATGGTTGTCGGATCGTTTGCTTGCCTATAAGAGAGAGAGAAGATAAAAAAAAGTAGGGATTTAAATTTAGTTTGTTTACAATTTTTTATTTTTTTATTACAACAAAATAACTTATTTTATAAAAAATTAAAATAATAAATTAGATTTTACCAAATGCAAAAAAATTGAGTATTTTCCATTTGCATTTTAATGGTTTCAACTGAATTAAATTGTATATTGGGTGAATGTATATTTGTTTCTATTATAATAAATCACGAATTTATTTCAATATTCATCTTTTAAATATGCATGAATTAAGTTTCAATTTCTTTATATACTGGCTGCTAACAACCAATCAGGTTATATATAGATGTATTTCTAAAAATTGATTATCTGCTTAAATAAATTTGTATTTTAATAAAAATACATTACGTTTTAAGTATCAATAGTAAATATAAATAACCCATCATATTGGGGGTAAATTTGGATGGTGCATCATATTCATAGGAGACACACCAACTCCAGCAAGATCCATGACAGTAAGAGGAGGTGGGGGTGGAGGAAGCATGAATGGTCTATAAGCAAAAATTTGATGAGGTCATAATATTTTTAACAAATTATTAACTTGCAATTGTATATATACCAATTCAATATAAATTATTGCTAGAATATACTTAAATATGAGAGTGTATAAAAATAATCTCAAGGGGTTTTTTTTCCGGGGGTTTTATTTCCTGGGGGTTTTTTTTCCAGGGGTTTTTTTTCCTATTACCGGTATATATATAAAAAACACTTTTGATATTGAAGACAATCCACGAGAAAAATTTGTAAAATTATCCATATTTCTAAAAGAGTTATCTTAATTTGTTATAGATGTAAATATTATCAACACATGAACCGATCCGAGACCGACTAGAAAGGACAGACATTCTCAAGGGCTTGGTCAGATTGGGACCTAGATATTAGAATTTATTTTGTACCAGACTTCAACTAATGTTTTCATGAATATTTCAAAAAATAACGACAATTTTTAATTTCAAAATTTCGATTTATCAGGATCGGACCTAAAAAACAGGTCAGATGTTTTGAAATAGATCGATAGCGGAAATGGTTACAATTTTAATTGATTAAATAGAATGAAAACATAATTTATTTAACCTTTTCAACAAGCACTAATTGAGTATCTTGAGGGGAGTTTACAAATTTGTTTTGGAAATTTTGCAAACTGATAGTTCGACTCAGAGCTATAATCTCTTCTAAACGTTCATTCTTGACTTCGGCGGGCACATCGTCTATCATGGTCCTATGTGCCCTGGTTTTCTTGTGAAATTATTTAAATGTGTTCTATACTCTGCGGGGTTGATTGATCAATTAAGCATATTTTTTTAAATAGCAAAATTTATGGCCTTTTAAAATAAATCATTATTCGAATCGCAAATATTAGCTATGTGAGCAATATTATGTCGGGAGGTAATATATAAAAGATTCTCATAAGGCTTGCCACATTTATTTCATTAATCTACAGTGTTCCTCTATGTAATTAAGCATATCACCCTTTAAACTTTGTAGATATAATAGAGCTAGGCTAGGTATTCATTTCAATCTAATTGTGTGTTAAGAAAAATTTAGGGAAAAAGAAATGTGAGGAGCCCTTTACACGTTTGTGGGCAAGCCGTATGTTTGTACGCCTAATAGTCAGAAGACTATTTATTATCCAAACGTCTGTGGAGGACCGACTAAAAAAGGAATGGGCCAAGATCTAAGCCCATACCAAGATTTGCAGATATATTTAATTATTTTAAAGGCAAGGGAAGAGATCATTTTTATTTATTGTATATCTATATTAATGAGTTAATTCTATTGACTTAAAATACTGAACTAATAGCTTCTCGCCGTGTTATGTTTGCAGTATGAATAAATTGAAATGTTAACTTGTTATCATGTTAAGATATTTGTAGGGTTGTGATATTAAGGAAATAATAACACCGTGAGAAGCTATTTCAAAGCAATAGAAAATTGATATTTATCTGTTATGAATCTGACAACATTTTCTATCAATCAAATCTCTAAGAAATTTTTAAATTATAAAGTTCTAAACATTTTCATAAATCAAGTGAAACTTTATTAATAGCCGTGTAAAAAGTTTTATTTAAAATTTAGTAGGGTTGTAAATAACGTCGTTACTAACGCCGCTAGTTTTTTGAAGAAAAGGAACACTATTCGTTACTTGTTTCAAAAGGTAACGAATGGCGCGTTTATTGTAACGATAAAGCAAAACGTAATTTTAAATTTCTATTAAAAAAAAACTTATTATGTATTATAATTTTTTCAAATTTTATAAATAATTTAAGTCGAGTTTTAATTCAGATCAACCGCCAAAGTCCTTCATTAAATTTTATTTTATTATATTTTTGTTGTTAAATTTTATACAATCAAGATTGTTAATCTAATTAATATTGAATCAATCAAGGTGATTCTCTAAAGAATTTATTTTATAAAGAATATATGGGGCAGTATATTTATATCTTCAGATGAAGATGATTTAACTCTGCCTAGGCCCCAGTATGAAACATTTTTTTACACCAATAAAGTGCTGAGCACTTAACTCTACTATGAAATATCCCCATTCTCTGCGCCAGTTGGTATGTTTAGCCCAGCGAAAGCTGGGTTAAGCACTAAGCGCTCTTTTTTACATGATCAAAATTTTGAAATTCAATTGTTACAAATAAATTAAAGATTCTTACGAAAAGATCATATCTTATAATATATTATTTTTTAAGATGCACCGATATTTATCGGATCGAATGGGGGCTATTTTTCGTCTTTTTTTATAATATCGGTTTACAGTCAAATATTATACAATTTACAGATTAGATCTGATAAAATTGCATCTTAATTAAAAAAAAATTTTAATATATAAATATTTTTTAAAAATAACAAAATAATTAAAAATATAATAAAACACATAATTTATTTTTAAAATAATATTTATGATTATATAAATTCAAATTTTTAAAAAAATCCAACAATTTATATTGATCAAGAATAGAACTAGATTGGATCCTACTTTCTACGATAGAAAAACTTTTGGAAAGAAGATTACAAAGATTTGATTATATAATAAATGATTTGTAAATGTTTATATTTATCTTTACATTGATGAATCAGAGATCTGCAAGCCAGGCCTTGAGACCAGCCCGGGTACATGGGCCGGGTAATGTTTTAATTTCCGGGCTGGTACGTATATTTTAAATCGCCATTATTAGCTATAAAAATAAATATAATATATTATTAAAAAATCCGGGCTGGGCTGAAAAAGTTTTTTGAATCAAATTCGGCCCAGGGAGCAATGGGTAACGCTGCAGGTCTCTGATGAATATAGCTAAATAAATAGGCCTAAAATTATAAATTAATTAAAATTTGATAAAAGTATATTTTTTAAAATGACTTAAATAATAGTATAGTAAAGATTAATATATATTAATTATGTATAATGGACAAAATTAGATTAGTGATATCGGATGGGTAATCAACCGATATCAATTAATATCAGCAATATCGTATCAGATTGGCCTCCAAAAAGTGGAATCGGTACACCGCTAATTATTTTTCTTATAGAGTAAAGGTTACTCATAGGTGATTCAAAGGAAGGCTTTCATTAGAGTTTTTAAAGGATCGAGATCAGTGTGTCGACGATCCTGTATTCGATCCTAATTTAGGCAATTTTCACGGATTTATGATTTTCTGTTAAATTGAGGATCGTGATTTTCATATATGGAAAGATATGAGGTGACAATTAGAAAAAGAGAAAAACAAAAACGACTATCGAAAAAGATATAAAAAACGCATTCATTCATAATTATTAATTTTCATCATGAAATTTGAATATATTGTTGTGTCTTGATAATATTGGATATATTTATTGCAATTATTTCTGAATATTGACGCAATTAATCATCGTGAATCTAAACTTATTCTAAAGATAAGCAGAATTTCAAGCTGACAGAAAATGCAGATAAAGACAAACACTTAGTTGTGAAGGCATTTAATACACTTACTTCTTCTAAGCATGATTCCCACTCTTTATCACCTGATAACAAATTTCTTTTAATAGCCACCTCTTAAAAGTACTCATTAAAATTCCAATAATAGTTTTTAAATTATCAAAACACGTAGTATCGCAAACATGAAGTAGTAATAATCGAAGGAAGAATCGTTCACCAGAATTAGGATGAACAGAATACATTCTCGAAATGACATTAATCGTTTATAGAATCGATATCTAATGTTAAAATTTAAAACGTAGAAATTTATACATCTATTATATCGGTAAAATATATCTTTAAGTATATTTATAAGTGCTATGACTTACTAATGTTGCTTCAGATATAAATATTCATGATGAAATTAAATCATATTTAAATGGGCGATATGTGAGTGCATGTGAATCGATGTGGAGATTATTAGAACATGACCGCTCGCACGCTGTTATTTGCTTAGGAATTCATTTAAATATTTCGCGGATGGACATGAGAAAACATACATACTACTTTAACGGCATGGTTTGAGTTAAATCAGACAGATCTAAATGCTAGACAATATCTTTATGGGGAAATTCCTTATCATTATGTGTTTAATTACCAGATTAAATGTCATTTCGAGAATGTATTCTGTTCATCCTAATTCTGCTGAACAATTCTTCCTTCGATTATTACTACTTCATGTTTGCCGGGCTACGAGTTTTGATAATTTAAAAACTATTAATGGAATTTTAATGAGTACTTTTAAAGAGGCAGCTATTAAAAGAAATTTGTTATCAGATGATAAAGAGTGAGAATCATGCTTAGAGAAGGATTAGTGTATCAAATGCCTTCACAACTTCGGAGTACTTTTGCCTTTATCTGCATTTTTGTCAGCCTGAAAATCTTGCTTTCTTTGGAATAAGTTCAGATTTACGATGATTGAAGATTATTTGCGTTGATATTCAGAAATAATTGTAATAAACGTGACTTTAATGGACATTAAAAACGTTTATCTTGATTATGGTTTATGCTGTAAAAGTTTTGTTCTTCCCTCACCTACAAAAATTCCCCATAAACAACATTATGATGCACATGCTGAAACTCTGAAACTGCCGATTCAATCGAACGAATATCGAAATTAAACCGATTACAAAAATATGTTTTTGACTTAATTATACAAGCAACTGAATTAGAAAATATTTCATCGTGGATGGCCCTGGGGGTTCAGGCAAAACGTATCTTTACAATACCTTAATGTGTTATATAAGAGCAAATAATCAAATTATATTGCCTTTTGCAACCACCGAAATATCCTCTATTCTTTTAAAGGGGGGAAGAGCAATCTGATGAATTTAAATCACCTTTGTCTATCATTGAAACCTCTACATCCCATATTAATTTACATTGTTCACAAGCTCTAGATCTAAAAAATAGCAAATTGATTATTAATGATGAGGTCATAATGATGACTAAACCGCTTTGCGATGCATTGACCGATTACTTAAGGACATTATGAAAAATTCCCACCGATTTTGAGGAAAAGTTATTTTATTAGGTGGTGATTTTAGATAGACTTTACCAGTAGTGTATAAACGCTCCAAAGTCGATATTATAAAGTTGCTATAAAAAGTTCAGATTTATGGATTCATTTTAAAATAATACATTTGATTGATAATATGCGCATTCCATCAGAGAATGTTAGTTACTTAAATTTGGAGATGGCTTTAAAGCAGCAATTTTAATCTTCCCTAGTGTTGAAATCCCACCTTATTTTTGAAAATGATTTATTAATAAAATATGTGTATGGTAATTCTATCGAAATTGCTGATATAGATAGTCTTTCTACTAAAATAATATTAACCACCAAAAATAAAATTGCACTTACCCTCAACAACGACATCATTAATATAATTTCAGGTCCCACCAATTATTATAGTGCTGATTCCATTGAAAGCGATAATCAGGATGATATAATGAATTTTCCAATAGAAATTTGGCATTCACAAACTTCATCCGGTATGCCACCTCACAAGCTAACACTTAAGGTTGGTGCAATTGTTATGTTTTTATGCAACTTGAGCCCAAACAAAGGACTTTGTAATGGTACCAGCTTAATCATACATTTGCATATTAATTTTATCGATGCTGGCGTGTTGAGAAGCACTAATAAGGGTTTTAGAGTTTTCCTTCCATTGATAGATCTAGCTCCAAGTGACTCTAAGTTGCCATTTACTTTAAAAAGACACCAGTTTCCATTCCCGCTTTTGTGATTATAATAAATAAAAGTCAAGGACAAACCTTAGAACATGTAGGCGTATTCCACCCTGAGCCCGTCTTTGCCAATGGACAACTATATATGGCTCTTACTAAAAGTAAATCTCAATATAATATGAAAATCATGATTTTGCCATCAGAGTTGAAAGGCAAAATTTTAAAAAATGATAAAACTTTCACACAAAATATCGTATATAATGAAATCTTTAATTCATAATTTGTAAGAAATTTTAAAGAGTCACCAACTTTTGTTATTCACCATCAAATCACCAACTTTTATTTCCATCCTCTTCATCATTAACAACAGTAACTTTTATTTTCAATTTACACGCTTTATTTCAGGTTATTTACGGCAAACTAAGAGCAAAGAAAAGACAGCTTCTTCACCAACTTCATCAACAACAGTAAATTCTATTTTATATTTTCAATTTACACCCTTTATTTATGGCAAACTTCGATCAAAGGAAAAACATCATCAAATAAAAAGGCAACATATGGTGATATACCAAACTAATGCTTAAAAATCTTACATTCCTCTCAATTTTGAAAATATCTTAAACCTTCTTTTTTGATAAAATTTTGATAGTATTATTTTTTTTATATTATATTTTTTTTTATACGACTACAAATGCATATGTGTGGAACCCGATAATCGTCAAGTCTTGAAGTATAAACAATTATTATATTTTCATATAATTCATTGGTATATTAATATTTAAAATCAAAATTTTAATCTTATTGTAATCTTTTTTAATATTGAATTTGGAAATAAATAATTACTTAATATTTTGTATTGTTTAATTAACGAGTAACGCGTTTATTTTTTGAATAGCGAATGCCTTTCTTTTTTCACAAGGTAAAGAGTAACGTGTTCCTATTATTTCAAACGTAACGAGTAATGCGTTTTTTTAAAAAAAATTCACAGCACTAAAATATCGTGATCGTAAAAAAATGTGTATAATATAAACTTCTCTCATGCTGTAGGCAAAATTATATACGTAATCGAATCGGACTTGAGAAAGGACATCCAAAGTATCTAAGTGATCGGATTCGCTTTCCCCGCAAAACCCAGCTATTACATCGGTAGTCAATGAGACGTCTAGAAAATAAAGGAATTTGACGTTGATAGAAGAAAAAAAATCTATTAAACTTGGACCTTTCCCTTTTTATCTTTTAATTTCATACTTACCATCTTTTCCCTATTTGTAAAAAAATTATATAAATAAATTTAAATAATTATAATTAGATTAGAACCTTTGATGATAGATCTGATGTTTTGTACCAGTTCCAGATATGCTTCTTTGGTATAACCACGTTTCATAAGTTGCAAAACACGGGTACTCCCACTTTGAAGGGGCAGATGGATTTGTTTACAAATATTTGGATAGTGATTGATGATGTGCAACAGCTGTAATTTTAAATTTAAATTAATTTAGCACTTCAAATGCTATTCAATTCTAGGCAGGCGATCTAGCATCGAGTGGGGAGGGAGTGGCTATGATTAAATGGCATTAATATTGCTAAAGGGCTAGTTTTGAGCCGATTTTTAAAACGGCTAACACCATATTTTAGACAGAAAAATATTACCTGAGCTCAAAATTTCGCTAATAGATATCTAAATCTATGTGCCATCTATGAGCAAAATCTTCGGACTTGAGTAATACTTTTCTGATTGAATTAGCCGGTTTTAAAAATCTGCTCGAATCGAGCCGTTTAACAGCATTAAATAGCATAATTAAACTTTCGAGGCTTAACCTCATAGTCAACATATCTATTTTCTAATAGATCTAAGAGACATTGGCTTTGGAATAATTTAAGGGGGAGGATTTTTAGAAGACCTAGGTTATCCTTCTTTTCTAGACACTACTTTCTTATATACATAAATATTTCTATTCTAGCCCCATAGTAAAGATAACAAAATATAAGGGTATTTAATAATACATAAAGATATATTTTAACCAGGGGCGGACTGGTGATGGTGTGTCCTTGTGGATATTTTTTTTCTATTGGCTTTAAGCTTTATTTGAAAGGATGTAAAAGTTATCAATGACATAGAAGATTTGGCATCTTCTATCATTTTCCATGCTGACAAAATATCTATATATTTCGAAAATATTCGAGTTGTGAGGAAAAATTCCGCGCTGATAATATATTTTCGTATTTAAGTATTGCCCATTTTATTTCCTAAAAATTCTTCAAGGGAATATAATTTTGAAAACATTTTTGAAGATGTAATGACAGCAGTCATTATTTCAAAAATTTTCACAAATATTACAGGTGTATACAGCATCAAAACTGAGTTTCTGATTATGTTTCTGCCTTAAACGATTTATTATATTATATATTGAAGTGCGCTTATAGTGATCGGGAGCAAGATTTCTTCACCATATATCAATCTATGGTTTTTCCACGTGCCCACCATCTCACATATTTTTTGCAGCCTCCACAATTAATTTTAGCCAAATGAATTATTTTGTAGGACCCATGCATCCATCCTTTTATAAGATTCCCAAAGAAGTTAGTCAATTCATTAATCCAAATAAATTTTTTCCTCCAATATTATCAAATAATTCACATATGATAAGATTTAGTATGTATCTATAACACCAAATACACACACTATCTGGGGCCTCTTGACAAATGAGAGCGTGGAAACCAACAAATTTACCGCGCATTTATGAGGCACCATCAAATAACTATCCAATTATATTTTTTCACTATCATCTCGTGTTTTAAAAACATTCAGTCAAGATGAAAATTTATTTTCCAGAGGATCAAAGGTTACTGAAACACTTAGTTACTTTGGGAAATTCCTGCAATGAAGCGATTTATATTAATGAATGATCAAATAATCAGAGATCATTTAGAGAAGGCTATTTTAAAGAGCAAACATAAAGAAAAGCTTAAACTTTCTGACAAATCAAAATCGAAGGGAAGAGGTTCGCTCATAACTTTGTTGTCAAGAAGAATAACATTAACAGAGTTATTAGTGCTGTTCAAAAATCAAGAATTTAATATTTTTAAAAAAGGAGATTGGGAGAAATGGTTTAGTTTAGAAATGGATAGTATGCATGACATTAGTGTTTATGATCAAGCAACCATATGCTTACGGTACATTGGCAAAATAATAGAAAGGTTTTTCGCACTGATAAAAGTAACTCTTCTGGAAAAGGATTTTCGATATCTTGACCGAATGTTTTTTAAAACATGGGATTCAAAAAAAAAATAATTGGAGAGTCATTTGATGGTGCTGCAAATATGTACGGTGAATTTGTTATAAAATCTCTTATTAAACAAGAGGCTCTAGATAGTGTGTATATTTGGGGTTATAGTCACACTAAATCTTTGCATATGTGATTCATGTGAAAATATTTAAAACTTATATGTTGGTTAAAAACTTGTAACCTTCTTTGGCTAATCATAAAAGGCTGGATGCTTGGGCCCTATAAAATAATTCAACTGGAGAAAATAAGTTGCAAAGCTACAAAAATTAAGTGAGACAAGGTGGTGGAGACGTAATAAAGTAATTAGATGAATTTGCTCCCAATAACGATAAGTGCACTTCAATTTATAATAGATAATAAATCATTTGAGGCAAAAACCTCATCGGAAGCACAGTCTTTGATCGATAATTTATGTAAATTTAAGACTCTAAGTAGAGTTATAATTTATCTGGAAATTTTTGAAATAATGGGGCCACTGACATTCTATCTTTAAACTAAAAATTTAGATATTTTGTCAGCATGGAAAAGATGCCAAGTCTTCTGTATCATCGATAACTAATACATCGATTCAAAATAAAGCAATAAAATGGCTTCTAATTTAAAAGAAACACTTTCACATTTAAAGCTCCCATAGAGCATCTGGATACAGAATGCTCTACCAAAAAAATAGAACAGGGCGAGCAATGAGGATATATATTAAAGAATGCCAAGTCTAACGTCCCAGAGATTCGATTGACCTTTAAAAAATGGATTCGCCAATTGATCAAATTATAAACAGCTGGGAACTTTTTTGCGAATAGGGAGCAGGTGACAATATTTGCACCCAAGGCATTTTGATTATATAAATAGTAAAGATATTTCGGAAGAGGCCTTCTAAAAAGTGTCACGTCAAATATTTCAAGAATTAAATTACAGACGAATTATTTTCATTTTCTCTTGTATTCAATGATTTAATAATAGGGTTATGAAACTCGCTATATCGGTGTACAAGTATGGAGTCACGAAATAACACAATGTGATAATAAAAACAACTCAGAGTGCAATAATAAGTGCAACAAGTGTTTAATATGCGTCTATGAAATTCTTAAATCATGATATATGTGTACAAGAGCACACACTAATTAATTTTGTAAATGAATATTTTAACTTTATCATTTACTCTCGTTAATAGCGGGAGAACATTCAGTAAATTGAAAATTATAAAAAAAAATAGGCTAGAACTGGCACAGGTCAAGATAAATTGGAGGTATTTTTAGTGGTTGAAAGAGAATTATTGTCGCAGATTAAACTAGAAGATATTCTTGTTTATTTAAGCACAAGTTCAAGGTTAATGCGAGATCAAAAACATAAAAAATATATTTTTTAAAAATTCTTTTATTTACATACTTGTAACTATTTACTAGGGCTGTGCCGATATTAAATATCGGATCGGTACCGATATTTAGCGTTTTCCGAAAATATCGGATCAGGCCGATACCTGTAAAAAACCGATCCGATCTTTTTACTTTACTTTTCTTTTATTTGTTATTTTATTTTATGTTATGTATATTTATTTTACATTATAATATTTTCTAAATAATATTTTAAAATTCTATTTCTTTTTTAAAATAGATTTATAGTATTTTAAAAGTTTTTTTTATGAAAATAGAAAGGAACACCCAAAGTTTTATTTATTTTAATTTTTAAATAACGCTTTTATACTATAAATAAAAGAATTTTTTTAAATATGGTATCTGAATTATGGAAATAATTTACAAAAGACAAAGATAATTTTGCAATTGTAAATCAAAGGGCCATGGCAGGCAAGGCAAAATGGGGGCATGAGGGCAAAGTCCCCATAAAAATGAGAGCGCGAGAAAAAGCCCATTAAGCTATAGCATCGTCATTCCAGTTCCAACGGGTAAGTTAGTTCCCGCTCTGATCCCTTTTCTCCACTTTTAAGGTTGGGAGCTTCGCCATTTATAAGACCCATTCTTATGCTACCCATGTAAATATAAGCATTATTTAAAAAATTGGTGTAATATATAAATTTTTACGTATATAGCTGAAATATAATACAAAATTCAAATCAAAATGCAATGTTTATTAAAATGTATTTCTCATGTTCGATGGAATTGAGATTTGAAAAATTCGATAAATCCATATCAAATTACATTGAATTGGAAGATTTGTAGAGATTAATTTCGAAAGTTACGCAACTTTTTAAAACTTTCGATTTTTTTTAAAATTATTTATTTTGGACACAGCCTAAAATATATTTTTATTCAAGCTTTCACGGATTGTTATTTTTAATTCCCCGAGTATGCTATTTAGTTGTCAGTAGTATTATCTCATATTTATATTCATTCATGTTTTATTAAAAATTCGGTGCTTTATTTAATGGTATTACTATTCCTGTAATAGTTTTATTGTTCATTCATTTTACTTTAATGCAGACGATAAAATTTTTTTATAGATATTAAAAATGGTATAATACTTTTCAATAACTGTTTTAAGGGGCCTATTTATTCCATTGTCTGATTTTTAATAAAATATGTTGTGAGGTTCATGCAAAACAAAAATAATACGGAATTTCAGCCAATTAAATCCAAATATTTTTCAAGGCTTTTAGCATAATACTATCGATTTTAATAGTGTTTTTACGAATTTAATTTGCTTCACTACATATATTCCTCTTATTTACGGTTATTTTCCAGATCGAGTGCTTGGAACACATGAAATAAACTAATTTCTAATTCAGGAAATCCCTTTCTTCCAGCATGTCTATCTATGAAATCTATATCAAAATTATACGAATGTATTTATGCCCATTGTAATGACAGATGTTTTTTTTTTCGAACTTTACAAATCCATATACCAATAAAACGTTTTTAAAGATCACCATGTATAATAAAGAACTCCATGTATAATAAAGAAAATGATAGGCATCAAATATTTATAAAAGGAATAAGTGGATTTTATCAAGCATAACTTCTCATTCCTCAACCATAATTTCAACATTGTTTAACGCGTTGTCTTCTTTAAGAGTAGGCACTCTTGAACTTAATCTATCTACATCATATAGTTAAAAAAAAGTTCTATCTATGTAATATATATCGTACTTGATAATGAATTTGCCTTGCTTATATCTGATTGGATTTAAAATATATTACTATCATAGGTATGGAAAATTTTGAATATTTAAAAATATATAATTTGTATTAATGGCAATCAATCGCCTTAGTATATTTTTCATTGGTTGATTTTTATATAATATATATATATAATAATTATTATTGATTATAAGGAAATTTTTTTTAAAATATACTAAGGTTGCGAAAACTGAAAATTTTTAAAATAAATCTTTAAATGTTCTTATAAATATTTATTAAAACTTAAATAAAATCTGATATTATACTAATATAATATTTTTTTTAAAGGTACATAATATAACAATGCGGTGTAGTACACTATATTAACGTCATTAGTAGAAATAGTTTATTTTAAAATAAAAATGGGCGAATTTGGCAAATAAATATAACTTCGTCGGGAAAATCTTTAGGGTGTGGTGACGTAAAACGAATTCTAACTTCCGGAAATTTTTCCGCGACTGCTGCAATTAAATGGGGAAACCTTGAAATTTTATCAGCACTATTCGTAACACGAATGCAATTAAGCGTTGCTTCATTTTGATAATGGAAGTTTTGATACGATGAGTCCCCGGTGATTGAATAGTCAGTTTTTTTCTTATAATTGAGGGTGAAACCTTTGCTCATGTAGGGAGTAGTGTTAGAGTAAAGTTTAGTAGTTTGGTTGGGACTCATTTCGCCTTTTTCAATATTATGAGACTGTTCATGGTAAGACACTGGATCGAAATAGCTATTGACATTTTGCCCTAGTAGTATTATTTCTTTAACTCCCTTGTTTTTTTTATAATTATAAATATGTTTATATAACGAATTTTAAAAATAATTATTTATTATAAAAATTGTCATTTTAAGGTGAGATTTTTCGTGAATATTAAATAAAAGTGATTCAAATCTAAGTATCTTATAATCGAAAGTTCTATTCCTGCGTTTAACTTTAAGATTTTTAAAACGATTTACAAAGATTCATTTCAGTTTTAGCAATTCATATTGGTTCTTTTCGGCTTGTTTTGAATATATTTATTTTCATGCATAGAGTATTATATATTTATATTAAACCCAACAAAATACTGAAAAAATAATATTTTAAAAATTTAGAAATAAAAACCAAATAAAAATATTATAAAAACTCTAGGATCAAAAAAAATTAAACAAAAATGAGTTTTATATTTTATTTTATTATAAAATGTGAATATGAACAAACAGAGTAGTTTTTTTTATAACGGTTATTCCGCACTTATTTCTTTTGTTACCCTCAAAATTGGTTCCAGAACATCAATTACCATTTCTGTTAATTGTCTATAATGAGAGATTTTCAAAATAAACGAACAGCTGTACCGCTCTTTTTTGTTCTATCAATAGTTCGAGCATGTAATAGGTAAAATGTAGGCACGTCCTGGATTAATTTGTACCTAGTTAGACTCAAACGAATTGAATTTTTTTTAGAAACTATAAGCAAAACAGGAAACGCTTTGAGATTTCCCGTTTTTCATGGCCAAAGCTATATTGGGTGCATCTGTAATGATTATATGTGCATTTTTTTTATCCCCCAATAATTAATCATTTCATCTAAAATATGAGCAATCTTTATTGCTTATGAGGCTCATTAAATGTTTTAACATTCAAAGTTTAAAGTTTTGGTTATAAAATGGCATGTTAATGAGATATGAGAATCGCCACCTGAATTTAGTCCATATATCTATGATAAAGGAAAAATAAGAATCTTCAACCAAAATTTCTTTACGTTTTTTCAGAGAGTATTTCATATATATTATATATACACATCAGGAATAACTCCTTGCGAAAAATATTTTTTATTTTATAATTTGGACATAAATGATGTAAAAGCCTTTTAAGGCCGTCATCCTCCAAGATAAAAATAGTCTGGTGGTCACAGGCCATCATTTTCCCCATAAATTTAGAAATATTATGGATTTAGGATCATAATTTTTCTAAATATTGGTTTTATTAAGAATGGCTAATATTGTTGGCTGACTTTCAGGGCTCTTCTTTTTTTAAATTTGATTTTTTTTTCAAATATTTTTCGTTCTTTTTGCATTAGCTCTTCGAAGGCCGTTTGATGGAATCGCTTTAAATGTTTACGGATATTGGTAGTATTAGATGAATTATTAATTATTTTTCCCGTAAAATTAGAATTCCGCAGAAAACACATTTTGCAAATTATCATTGTCTTTTGTGAAATACTTCCATAATTCAGGTGCTATATTTAAAAAAAACTCCTTTATTTAAATTATAAATTAGAGATCTGCAAGTAAACCCGGCCCGCTAATTTTTTTTAAAAAAAAATCGGATTTGAGCGGGGTCGGGTCTAATATTTTTAAAAAAAATTCGGACAGTGTCGGTTCGGGCCTTGGAAATTTTTTAAAATATTTTTAGATTTAATATTGAATTTTTTAAGTAAAATAAAAATATTTGATTTTATTAGAACTAGATGCCATATAACATATATCTTTTATTTTAAATAATTATAAAAATTAATTTCTATATTCAAATAAAATCGGGCCTGGCCGGTATATTTTTTTAAAAAATTTTCGGGCCGGGCCGGACTTGAAAAATTAGGCCCGATGCAGATTACTAGTATAAATAATAAAATTGGCGTTATTATTTAATAAGATTTAAAATAAATAAAACTTTTAGGTGTTCCTTTCCATTTTTATAAAAAATCTTTATAAATACTTAAATCTATTTTTTTTAAAAATTTAAGGAATGTTGTGCATTTGCATTGTTTAATATAAAAAATTATTTAGAATCGTTTCTTTCGAAATATTATAATAATGCAAAATAAACTATATAAATATATATATAACATTAAATAAAATAACAAAAAAAGGTAAAAAGATCGGATTGAATCGTTTTTACAGGTATCGGTGTGATCGGATTTTTTTGAAAAAATCCAAATATCGGTGCCGATCCGATCTAATATTTAAAATCGGCACAGTCCTATATATATTAAACAATTTTTATAATAAACTATTATAAGGAAAATATAGTATTAAAAAAATTTCCGCAAGATGGAGACTTTTTAAAAAAATTTAATTTGTAATTTTTTATTATATAATAAAAATAGCAATTTAACTTACAAAATATGAATATACATTTTATAATATAAAATATGATTATTTCAAAATTCATGTAAAGGTTTTTTTATTTTTTGGAAGATAAATCAATTGATAAATTACTAAATGAAAGAAAAATAAAAAATAAGGGCATATAATTCAAGGAAAAAAGGTTTCCAAAATGATATGGTAAAATATATTTTATATAATAAAAAAATAAATAATTATTGGACTAGAAATATAATATTTTTAATCTATTTCTAATATTTATTTTAAAATTAAAACTTTCCTTTTTTTGAAAAATGATGAAATTAAATGTTTTTATATCTACCGACTTTGGAAATGACTAAATGAGCCTAATACCTTATCTAACATATGCTGGGCCACTAAATGTTTAAAAAAATGAAGAAAATTATAGTAAAAATAGTTGTCGCAAACAGGGGTTAGAACCCGAACCCTCGTGATTTTGCTGAACCAAAACCCTTTTTAAAAGTTTAAGGTTCAGGGTATCCAAAAAATAAAATATATAAATTTCATAAATAAATAAATTCATGAAAAAAAAAGATTTTTTACGGAAACATTTTTCAATTTTGAAAATTATAAATGATAATTTAATATGCTATAAATAGGAATATATTTGCTTATCTAGTTTTTAACATTAGTTTTAGAGTCAAACTTGATTCTCACATTCGCAAACTTACGGACGAACCTCGTGAAGGTTTTTTCTTGTAAAAAAACATATTGGGAACGTGATAAGATTGGTGTGTTAATCAGCTAAGCCGGATCGATTTATCCTAAATTCCATTCAAATCTTGATTCTTAAAACTCAGTTCAAATTGAGGGGTTCAATGAACAACATGAGTGGGCTCGATATTATATAAATATTTTCGTCGTGGAATGAATAATATCAGATCAATTTAAAATAAATTTGAGCCTATTCTGAAGCCGACATTGAGCCGCTAAATTTAAATTCGTATTTTAGGGCTCTACCTCGAGTTCGGAGTCTTAAAAACTCGACTTTTCAACAAGACACAATTTAAGATTATTTTATTGAATAAAACATTTAAAATTAAAATTTAGATTTATTGCTAGTAGATTATATTAAAAAACAAGTAAATGAAAAAAAAAAACTCCAAACCCTGAAAACAAGAGAAAAGAATTAAATTTTTATCTCTGAACCAGAAACCAAACTCCCATTTTTTAGCCGAAGGATTCTTATTTCTTATAATAAAAAAAAAATTGTCTAAAAGAAAAAAGGGAGATAATGTTATTTATAAAAAAAATTAAAAAGTGTATATATGTTAGCGCCAATGTATTTTTTCAACTTTAAATCATTTTTTGAGCGCGTTTTTTATTGATACGTAATAAAAACGTTTTAACCCTCTGGTTGTGGATACAACAGCGCTACGCTAGGTTTTCCTCAAATCCATCAAACTGGATATTTAATTTAGGGGGAGAAAAATGAGGAACCCTTCACACGTTTATAGGCAAGCCACACGTACTTGTACGCGCAATAGTACTAGGATTATTGCTTAAAAGTCTGTGGGCTGATTAAAAGGGAATGGGCAGAAAAACACATTCCACACCCATGAATTGCATATGTATTTAATTACTTTATAGACCAGGGAGGGACCGATTTTAATTTTGAAGTACATTGTATTTATGATAAGTTAAAATAAAAATTAGTGAAGTGTCAATGAAATATAAGTCAGAGAATAAGTGAAATATAAAGATTAAAACCTATATAAAGGAAGAGTTTAAGATAGATTTAGATAATTTGATTTATAGTAGTTTCCTTATAGACCTTTTGCTTTTATTCAATTTCAGGAACTGCTTCATATCAGGTTTAAATCCATTATGTCTTATACTTGCGATATGTTTTCCCACTAAATGAGTGCAACCAACTAATGGCATCGATAAGGAGACTATTGTTACTATGGTTCCTCAAAATGTGGGCAAAGAAGTTAAGGCGCTTCTTTTTTAATGTCACATGTAATTGAGTGTGGTTTGACCTCTTCCAAAGGTTTTCATTCGAAATAATATTTGGGTAGAAGATGCCGTTTATGATTCCTAGACATTTATTTACGAACGTTTGCAATTTGCTGGTCTCTGTTGTGGTAATCTCCCATATGTCCCCAACATAGGGGAGAATAGGAATGATGGTTGAATTAAAAATTCGGAGTTTTGTAAAGACCGATATCTCACTAACTTTCCACAGTTTGAAAAATTTATATAAAGCTGCCCTGGCATTTTGTATATGGTTTTTAAGTTCTTTGCAACTGCCTCTATTGTCAATGGTTACACCAAGATATTTAAAGGATATCACCACCTTGGCCATCTTGCCCCCCCCTTCCACTACAAAGTCACTGTTTTATCAAAATTTATATCCAACCAGCCATAAGACGAAGGAATTTCGTATAAATATCAAATTTTGAGTTTCTTCCAAACTTTTTGTAATCATAATTATGTCTCCGCGTAGCTATCACTCTATTCACTAAGTAATACAAATGATTAGACCTTAGTTCTTATAGATTCGCAATTTCTAACGTGTCTTTTATAACTTTGTTCATGACAATATTAAACAGCAACGGAGAAACAACACCCCTTTTTTGTTCTGAAGGATGGAGAAACTTTTTGTTAATTTTGAAAGTGGCATACAGTAGTTCGTCTTGAGTATATGATGTTAATGTCGATACC